TCTGTTAAGACACATACACTTTCACCCCTATTTATTCAACAGAATTTACAGAGGCAGAACTGAAAGCTTTTACAATGACCCCTCCCCCTCAACACACACACACACACACACACACACACGCACGCACGCACGCGCGCGCGCGCTTTCAAATATCTGATTTTTAGCTAAGACCCTGGGTGGTAGTCTGTACATGGCAGTGTCTACTTACACAACTACACATGCAGGCCTGTAACTTCATCATCTCCAGTGATTGTTGAGTTTGATTTTTCCTCCAGTAAGATACAGCATGGATTTACCAATAGAAGTTCTAACAAGAATTCTAGTATTTTTACATAGGTAGACATTCATTTGCCAGGTGCTCTGCACAACTTGGCAAATCATTTCAGCTATAGGGCCTCATTACCAAACATAGGAACTGAATGGCTTAATTCTAAATTCGTTATGCCTGAAATGAAGAGTGATCACCTCAGTAAACCTTCTTGCTTGAGATACAAGAAAGAAATGTCTCATATTTTTCTCCTGGAAAGGAGTAAGTCTGGGTTGTCTGATGAATGTGCTTTTTGATTTGGTTGGAAAAAGATCTAGTATACATCTTCCCTGAAATTCTATTTATTCTCAGAGTCCTCAGAAAGATGATAGTGTTTTTTGCAGCCTGGATACCTACATTAATTTATTTTTTAACTGGATGCATCTCTCTATCTGTCCATCTCTTCCACTGCGTATCTTCTAGACATCATTTCACAAATCTAGGGTCTAGACATGTATTGTATTTAGTATCCCTACATCTGACGTTATAGAGGTGAGCTCATTAAATTCTGTTGATAAAAGTTCTCTGAGATTGTTTGAGAGGTCACATTCAGAGTTGAAAGGAATGCATGCCCTTTACAGCACTTACACATATGATTAAATAGCATTTTTCATTCTATTCCGAGGTGCATTCAGTTCTTGGGGTCTTCTGCTTCAAATCTCCTGAATTACTTAAGTATTTAGGACTGTTAATCATTTGTATTAGAGCACACTTGGTCACTATTTTTGGTTTTTCATATTTCCATTCATAAATGAGACTTTTTCTGCTTACGATTTGAATGTGTGCTGTTGTTCTTAATGGATCCTCCTTTTCAACTGATGTTACATGGTTCTTTATTTCAGTTATCTAAAAATGACACCCACTTTATCTTATAGTGAGCACAATACAGCCTTGATGGCAAGATCCTATACGCTATACTTCATTACAAGAGACTTACTCTCAGATTATCCCCAAAATTTCTACCATAGGTTGTTTTGGATTTTCCCATGAATCAACTGTGTTTATGAGTACTTTTCCTGAGCTTCATGACTGTTCTGCAGAAGCTAAATTTCATATACCTAAAGTTCTTAGCATGATTTACTTAACCTTTCTAAGGAAAAAAAACACCTCTTTGTAGCTCACCCAAGCATTTTGTGGCTTTTGATGATAAATATAATATCAGTTATTTTTTCCTCTAGTTCTTAAAGTTCTTAAAGATTGTGTTAAGGCTGGTTATATATTGAACAAACTGACCCTTCCATGTTGGGTTAGGGCATACTCTACTATAGTTTAGGTAACATCTGTACCTTGTTTCAGGGATTTTACTTCTGAAATTTTTGTAGGGCAATTGCTTACAATTCTGTTAATGCATTTACTAATCATTACTCTATGGTAGCTTTTTGGTCATATATGCCCAATTTGTTAGGACTGTCCTACAGATCTTATTTAGATGGGATGCTTTTCACACACGTCTTTGAGAGCTAAGTAGTAGTCATCCACATTGGGATGGACAAGTACTTGGAGGGAAGTTACTTTCTTAACAGTAACTAGAATTATTTCATATACTTTTGTCCGCATGGATTACACAGTACACCCTTATTCTCATACAGTCTTTTACCTGGATGTTTCCTACAAGTAAAGGACGTATGGCACTTAAGCTGCTCTGCCTTTTGTGCCACTGGTAATGCAGGGTGTATGTGTAGTCCCCAAAATACTACTGGCTAAATGATTTTGAGCTCATGCATATAGAGCACACCCATCTACATTGTGATTTGTGTGAACAAATGCTTCTTGAAGAGATTCAATTACTGTAAGTAATCTTCCTTTCTTTGAGATGGTTTGACCACACATATTCTATGGCCCACTCTTCCCTCTGGTTCTGTATTGGTGAAGGAAGTGGAGCATGCCTGGGACTATTCTGCCCTTTGTCTTTTCTGGAAAGGACACGGACACAGAGTATGGGTCTGGTCCCAATGGCCAATGCTGGCCAAAAAGATTTTGACCTCACTTTCAGAGAACACTTGCATATAAAACATGTATATGAAACATCTTGAATCACTTTGTGCAAAACAGAGTATTCTGCCTCTTGCAGCTGGTGAGTGCAGTATATTTCCTTTCCTAAGAAAACCACACAGTCAGTGGCAGTAGTGATTTTAGAGGGGTGCTCTTAAATCAAAGTTTCTTTTTTGGTTCTCTTGAGGATACAATTACACAGCACCGCTTAGGCCAGGGGTGGGGAAATATGGCCTGTGGGCTGCATCTGGCCTGCAAGTTCATTCTGTCTAGCCTGCGGGGTCCCTAAAAAAATGTAGAAAATTAATATTTCTCTGCCCCTGGTTCCTGTAAAAAATGACAGGAACCAAGGGCAGTAGGACCTAGGGGAAGCCCAGCGGGCTCCAACAACAGCAGAGCCCGCCTGGCCCCGCCCCCCAGCCGGAAGCCCCAGCTACAGTTTCTGGGATGGGAGCATGTGGCTGGTCTGGTGCTGGAAGCTCAGGTAAGTGTGGGGGGACCCCAAGCAAGGAAGGAGCATGGGGGGAAATGGCCCCTCCCCGCCCATGCCCGGTGCCCCACGCTGCAGCTGCTTGCAGCCTGCATGGGACTGCCTGTGCCTGCTCCAGACAGCCCCATGAAGGTTGCAAGTGCCTGCAGTGTGGGGCACTGGGTGCAGGGAGGAGGAAGGGCCGCTTCCCCTCCGCACTCAGCTTTTCCCTGGGCTCCTTCCCTGCACGGAGAAAAGCGGCCCCTCGCCTGCCCTGTGGCTGGTGCGCTGCACTGCAGGTGCTTGCAGCCTGTGCGGGGCTGTCCAGAGCAGGCACAGGCAGCCTCAGGCCGGCTGTGAGTGGGTGCAGCACATGGCACTGGGCATGGGGTGGGGAGGTGCTGCTTTCCTCCCCCCCACTCGCGTTCAGCACCAGCTTGGAACCCGGCCCCACTGCCAAGCTGGCAGTGGGGTGGGTTACAAGCTGGTGCTGAGCATGGGGAAGTGGCCCATCACTTGCCCCATGGCCAGTGTGAGGGTATCCCAGGGCCAGTGCTGGTGGGGCCCAGAGCAGGGTGGCAGGAGTGCAGGGTCCCAGCTGGCAGGTGATTTATGGAGCTGGGTCAGATCCCCCCTCCCTGCTGGTGCAGTCCAGCCTGGCTCCACAGACCCCTGCCGGCCTGTGCCCTGCTCTGGGCCCCACCAGTGTTGGCCTTGGGACATTGGTCCCAGGACATTGGGATGTTGGTCCCAAGATGGTGACCAGGGGGCGGGGCACCGATCAAGTGGTGGGGCACCTATCAAGGGGTGGGGCTACCCATATAGCCTGCCAAAACTGGGTAAGCTGCCCTCTGCCCAAAATAATTGCCCACCCCTGCCTTAGGCAGATTAAGAACAGTCTTACAAAATTAGGTTCTGTTTATTTAAACACCTTTTGAAATATTTTGTCTAGGTAATGGTTCCCAGTTTGGATGATATACAGCAAGCCATCAATCGTATGATCCAATTAATATTGGAAGTAAGTCGTGGAGTTGCACAGTGGGGACAGCAACACTTAATGCTGAACACTATTGCACATAAAATCTCTTCAACACCCAGTGGAATAGGAGGGAAAGTAGGCAAAAAAGATGACAGTAAGGTTTTTGCTAACTTTAACTTTTTTAATACAGTGCAATAGAATCTGCATATTTTATGACTATACTTATTTGCGCTCAAAGGGACTACCTATGGTTTATCTAGTTAATTTTACTTTAGCCATTTGTAATTAACAAGAAATGGGTATTTCACGCTTGTGAAAGTAACAGAAAACTAGGAAGCAATCAGAAAATATTGCCTGTGAATATTGTGAAAGTCTAAGGGCCAAGTCTTGTTTCAGGTTTATATGTGCCTAAGTGCTACATAATAATATGGGAGAGTTATGTAGGCATGCTGGTCCAGAAAATATAGGAGGTGAGGATTTTATTGTGACACCTTTATTGGACGAACTGTATAGTTGAGAGAGATGTTAGACAAGATCAAGTAGTTTATCTTTTCTACTACACCTATACTGTGTCACCAGTGGGCAATTTAGTGTGTACTACAGTCTAGAGTAGGTGGAAATAGAATCTAAAATCTTTGTAAATGCCAAAAATGGCACTTGCCTGGCTACATTTGGATGTGCATGTAGCACTTAGGTACATAAACATGAAACAGAATTTGACCCTGAGTCTTCCCTTTAATCCCAAACAAATTAACCTTGTAAGTATTACCCCCATATATTGTTCCTACTTTCTTACTATGAAATAGGGCTGTGCGAAGCTTCAGTTGCTGATTCGATTCAGAGGAGATTTGGCCTGATTTGGCAGTCGAATCTTCAAATCCAAATCGAATTGGGAGACAAGTAAAAAGGTCTGAATCGATTTGAAGCCTCTGAATCGATTCAGAGAAGATTCAGTGATTTGGAGATTCAGGCAGTCCCCAGTTGCCGCCACAGGGAGCTGGACCTGGGCTCCGTTCTGGTAAGTAGGGGGTGAGAGAGGTGCTGGGGGAGGGGACTGTGGGGGAACCCCCAGCAGGCCCCATCTCCTACCTGCTCCCCCAGCTCCTCTGAGCACCCCCCAACCTCTGCCCGCTCTCCCAACCCCATTAGTGGCTGCCCCACCTGGTCCCAGTGTCCTGACACTTTAAAAAAAAGAAAAAAGCCCCACACTCACCGGCTGCTACAGCGGCTGGCTGTCAGGGCCTCTGGGGGCTCATGGCAGAGCCCCTCCACGTAGCGCGGGGTAGGAGGGAGCAGCAGGGATCACCCTCCCCCCCCCAGCGCCTGACAGGAGCAGGTGAGTGTGGGGATTTTTTTTTTTTTAAGTGCCAGGAGACTGGGGCCAGCTGCAGCAGCCATTGACAGAGCTGGGAGAGCTGGCAGGGACAGCCATCTTCAAGGGGAGCTGGGTCATCCTGTCAGGACTGGGTGCTCTGGGCCCCTCTAGTGCAGCCGATGTCATGCCTCACCCCCATGAAAATGGTTCCAGGGGCCAACTGCTAATTCAGTTTCTGAGAGTTGCTTTGGTTTTTATCTCCATCAGCTCCCACCCACCCTGCACCAAGCACAGCCTCAGCCCTCCCTGCTAGCTCAGGGGAGCTAGGCGCTTTCCCTCCCAGCCTCAGCCTTAGAAGCATAGAGAGTTATAGAGAAGTACGGCTAGATGGGACCTCCTTGCTCACCAGTGCTCTAGTGGCAAGTCACCGCTGTGCAAGTGGGGGACAGTCAGAAATGATTTCAAGACCAAAGATGTGACTGCTCCAAACTCTAAGCTAACGCTAACTGATCAACGTTTGTGCGGCTCACAGTGTAAGGGATAACAAGGCCCTGAGTCCCCAGCAAGGCCTGACTCATTTCTTCAGGTATGTTCTGGAAAATGGGTAAATTGGACTAAATTTGGTTCAGTACAAACAGCAGAAGCCATATAATAATAGATACGGGCTATTGCACAGTGTTGGACTTACTCTAGCCTATGATGAGAGCACTGCTCCAGATTAGAGATAGTTCTGGGTTCGGGTCCCTCCTCTTAAAACTGCTTATACATTTTACATTAGTCACTGGATAAATAAACAAATTACCCTAATATCAGGGACTGGAACCAAAGCCTTCCCCCTCCAAACAGAATACCCTCATCACTGTGCTAGAGAGTCCAGCTCCTTCTTGTTTATTCCCCTTCTGGCTCTGTCTCTTACATTCATTTTTGCATTGTGTCCCAGCTTATCCCAACAAGAGGGATACCTATTCTGTGGCCTGCTGTGTAAGGCACTCTCTTAGAAAACAAGAGAGATGGGTTTGAATTCTTTTAGGGGTATAACCCACCTCTCCCACTCCCTGGGTTTATGCTGTAACCCCCTAAGTTATTATGCAGAAGGTTTACCTTCTGTCTGGTTTGGATTTTGAGGGTATAAACGCACCTAAACTCAATACTAAATTAAATGCCTCAAGTCTGAAGGGCATCACTTCAAAACCACCCCTATGCTCAGTATTTCCTGTTGGGTAGCTCAAGGTTCCTCTCTGTTCAGTGCTTAACATTGCCTTTTTTGGGGTGCTTTACTCTCCCCATTCCCCGTGTAAGAGATCTAGGCAAAAGTCCCTGAAACTTTTCAAATGTTAATGGGAAACAGGTGCATGCAGAGCAGGAAAAAGGGCTGTAACTTCACTAGCTGTAATAAAGTTAGTCCATGTGTTGGCATTTCCAGAGATTTTGCTCGACAGTGTTTTATGGGGTAAGTATTCTTAAACTGACGGCTGGTGTTTTGATGACATTGATTAAAGTTATGTATATTTTGTTATGTATATTTCTGGCGGGAAATGTTGAAATGGGTTTAATGATTTTTGAATTAATCAATTTGTTTGTTTTTTTAACAGAAGCAGCTGAAGAGTCTGGTCCTGTAAGAAAACTAAGAAATTTTTATCCAGGTGTTGCAGAACACAAAGATGTTTCCAAATTAGTTGTTCTCCTCTCAAGTTCTGTAAATTCTGTAAGGAAAGCAACCAGTGAAGCACTGCAGGACTTCCAGAAATATAAAGTGTTGTGGACAGAAGACAGAGATGCTAAAGTTCAGGTAAATTTAATGATGAGCACTGCTGCAGGAGTAACCTTTATAAATTGCTCCTTCTTTGAAAATAAAAGATACTGAGGAAAGGGATGTAAAAGATATTTAACAGCTGGACTATTACTTTAACCTGAGAGTAATAATAAAAGCTGCTATATTTCCTAACTATGAGCAATTGTACACTGTTGACAGAAAGATGACTTAATGGCTTTTGAAAATTCCCCAGTTACGTATTGGACGATTCTCTGTGCTACAATTTTAGATCTTTATAATATTCATTACTAAGCAATACTAAAATGGAAATATACTTCAATCTGGTATTTGCCATTATTATCACATTTTTAAGTAAAACAGAAAATATCTTAAATACCACACAAATTTAATTACTATGTGGAGTAGTATTTAGTTCCTTTAGAGAGGAATTTATTTTTCTTGATGAAATAATATTTTATAAGAACATTCCTTGGAAAAAGACAAAAGTGTGATGGTTAGAGGGAGAGAGACTAATAGGACTGAACTGCCATTTCTTCTTTGTGTACTGTAAATCTTGGTATACATTTTGAAATCCAGATGCTTCCAAATCTATTCAGAGAGAATTCTCAGAATCATACCATTCAGGATCTGAATGTACCCGACATAAATTGTCATTGAGTTCTTCCTCGCCTCTATCAGTGTATAGTCAGGTGCTGTAGTCCCCACACTTAATCTTTTATTTGGCTTTCTTTTTAAAACCTCTAAAATGACCATTTGTACATAATTACTTATTCTTGTCTTAGTTTTTGTAAGTACATTGCAATGAGTAAGTTCCATTTTGTTGCAAACTCTGTACAGTTGTCTTTTAGTTCTGTTATGTGCTATGCTTGTTTACCCAATTTTTTGGTTCAGGTTTGGTTTTTATATTGTTGGAAGAAATCATGTAGTCCAGGACTTGTGGCCTGTGGACATCATGTGGCCCATGAGGGGGTAAATTACAGGGGTTCCTTGGGCTCCTGCTCAGTTGCTGCTCTCCCACATTGATCTGACCACAGCAGCAACTAGGGTCTCAGGGCCCTCTGTCCTTATGGCTTCCCTCTCCTACCCTTGCCCCAGGGGGTCAAGTGGTACAGTGTGGTACAACCTGCAGTTTCAGGGTAGCTTATGGCTAGAGTGCCACTCAGCACAGTGCAGTGAGGGACCCCAAAGCTGGGGAGCTGAGGGCGAGGTGGGGTACACAGCAGGGGGTCATGTGGTGCCACAGAGAGGGAATGCTCAGGTACATGGTGCAGCAGGGAAGCACTAGGGCATGTAGTGCAGCAGTGTGGAGGTGCAGTATAGTGTGTGGGGGGTTGTGCCGAGATGTGTGATGAAGTCGGGGGCAGGGATGAGGGGAGGGAGGCAGGATATGTGGTCCTAGGGGCCTGTGGCCCCCAACCACTTAGAAATTGGATAACACTGATTTAGTTTGACTTTCTTTATAACAGTTCATAGAACCTTATTTAGTGTCACAGCCTTGTTAGCTCTCCTAACTAAACACTCACCAAGCTGCAGTTGTGGGTCCCAGTGACCCAGAACTATATAATTTTAAGCTTTCTTAGTCAAAGCGTGCTGCTGTACTGTCTTTTCTCTATGATGTCTCAGGCATTTTCTCCTGTCACATTCTGACTGTTATCCCTTCAAAGAAAAGAGGCCAAAAGCCCAACCCTCCCAAGGCCCCAGGAGCAGTGCTGATCGCTCATATTTTCTGGTAGTTTACCATATCCTTTCCCCAAACTCTGCATCATTTAAATCTTCAGGGGCATGTGCTAGCTGTAGCAGGAACACATACAGACTTTGCATGCAGTTCCAAAATATATTACTTTTTACTTTGATAGCATAAAAAACAGAAACAAGGCATAGTTTTAGACAAAATAATATCATTTCCCATGTGTATTTCTTGCCTCCTGTGTGCATTTCCCTTAGTAAAGAATTTTTAAGACAGAATCTTATAAAAAGTTCAGGATTCACCCTCCCTGCAGCTGCTCCAAATCTGTTTTTCTTTGACCTTGGTAGATCTTCCAGTTAAATATGACACCCTTTCTCAAAATGCATCTGCTCCTATCCTTTCTTCTACTGAAAAGAAGGACTTTCTGGGTTTTTTTGATCCATCCAACCTCTGCATTTAAAGGTTAGCATCAGGAGGTTGCTTGCTTTATTTTGTGCTTGGGTATTGGCTTTTATAGATTGCATAGACGTTAGGGCTGGAAGGGACCTCAAAGATCATCAAGTCCAGCCCCCTGCCCCAGGGGCAGGAAGTCAGCTAGGGTCAAAGGATCCCAGCAAGATAAACATCCAAACGTTTCTTGAATGAGTCCAGAGTAGGTGCCTGCGCCACTTCTGGAGGGAGTCTATTCCAGCTCTTGGGGGCTTGGATGGTAAAGAAGTTTTTTCTTATGTCCAGCCTAAAACAGTCTTGGAGGAGTTTATGACCATTGGTCCTGATTTTTCCTTGAGGCACTCTGGTGAACAGACGTTCTCCCAGATCTTGATGTACACCCCTTATGTACTTATAGGCAACCATCAGGCCCCCCCTGAGTCTGTGCTTTTCCAGGCTGAAGAGTCCCATGGCTCTCAGCCTTTCTTCATAAGACCTATTCTCTTGACCTCTGATCATGCACGTAGCTCTCCTCTGGTCTCTGTCAAGCTTCTTGACATCCTTCTTGAATTGCGGAGCCCAGAATCGGATGCAGAGTTTGCTTTGCTTTACCAGCTGCGACATTGTGGCTCATGTTCATGTTATGGTCAATTATGACCCCAAAGTCTCTTTCAGCAGTGGTGCTAGCAAGCATAGCACTGCAGAGGATAAAGTATGCTGCAGATTTTTTCCCCCGAGGTGTAATACCTTACATTTATTAGTATTAAACATCATCAGGTTTGTATCCACCCACTTACTAGGTTTATACAAGTCAGCCTGGATCACTAGCCTGTCCTCAGGTGTGGACGCTGTGCCCCAAAGTTTAGTGTCATCGGCAAACTTAGCCAGTGCACTTCTGACACCAATGTCCACATCGTTGATAAAGATGTTAAAGAGAACCAGTCTCAGGACAGAACCTTGGGGGACACCACTGGACACGGGGCACCATGCTGATTTGCTACCATCGACCACTACTCCCTGGGTCTGACCTGGGAACCAGTTTCCCAACCATCAGGCTGTGGTGTAGCCACAGTTGGCCAATTTTTCCATGAGGAGGTCATGGGACACCAGATCAAAGGCTTTTTTAAAGTCCAGATATATGACGTCAATCTCTTCTCCCTTCAATCACAATCCATTTCAGAGAAGTAAGAGCGACTAGTTCTTCAAGCTTTAGCCAACCTACTCTCCCTAGGTATTTCCATCTGAATTAGATGACTTCTAGTGTTTAACAACGCACTGTTCTATGCTGGGATGCACTGTACCCTGACTGCTAATGGCTGTCTCCATTTCTGCTGGTATTCCATGAGTTAATTAATAAAGTCAAATAGAATGCAAAAGTTAGATATGCATTGCTTCTTATCCCGCTATCAATCCTTGCTTACTTGTTTTCTGTTGTTTCCTTGCAAGTCTCTGTTTCTGTGGTTCTCATGTAGTTGTGGTTACATAATATCCTTTCCCCTGAGGTTGAGGGAATCTGGCATTTCCGGCTTGCTCAAAGCAGGGACCTTGGATTGGTGGTCCACACTTCTGTCTGTGCCAAGTCATGTCTGCTTACATATGTGGCCTAGCAGGACAAAAAAAGAAAAGCTTTTCTAAAACAAAATGAGATTTTAAGGGGGAGCAAGGCAGATTTCTGACCAGCTTCAAATTAGTCAATACAGTTGAAAATCGTGGCCACAGGTGCCCCTGAGAATCATTGCAGAATGCTTTTTTTATGAGGCACATTCTGCAGTGTAGAACAAGACTTTTAAATTCACTTTTCTAGTTGTTTGTACTATTAATTATGCCCTCACAATAATGGGACTCTGTAGATGCTGCTATAGAGGTCAGTTGCCTGTAATTGAAATTCTTTGAGACCAGTGTCTCTGAATATTTATATTATCCACTCATTCCCCTAATTGCTAGGAGTTCCAAGTTAACTTTGTGCTTTCAGGCTTAAAAGAAATAACTAACGTGTGGAGAGCAGCACTTCTCTTAAATAATTTTGGCTCTGGATATTGGGTCCCAGGAGGAGGCCATCCAGGGACACATTTCACAGTTGTAGCTATACAAAGGCAACACTTTTATTTATGAGTGAGCAAATTCTTTTTCACTAAGCAGCACTTTGGTCACTTATGCTTAATTATTCTGATTTGGAAAGTGAAGCCAAGGAGAAGCAGAAAGGCAGTTACATGAATACTCTTTTTGAAGGAAAGCAAATTATTTTGTATGTATGCCCCAGAAAATAACTCTTATATTTTTAAATTTTAAGGTATGAATTATACTTAGGACTAGGCACTTTCCTAGAGCAGACTGAGGAGGAGTATTACCAGGAAATACAGTTAAAGGAGTGTGGGTTTCTTTCAGAAAACAGTTGGGCCTTTTTTGTAGTTAGTCCTGAGTTGTCTGTCCCTGTTATCCTAGAATTCATTAACTTTTTGCCCAACCCATATTCTTAATAATCCTTTCTGCTCATTGCCACTTTTATACATCTTATTTAAAAAAACTGAGAGACAAATGTCATGTGTATTGAGTACTAGTTGAGGAAGAAAACAAAGCCAATCTCAGACAAGAAAAGAAATATCAGATCATGAATGCGCACAGTAGAACAGTAGTTAAGATACAGTTGTTTTGATAGTTTGAGAGCCAAATTTTCAAAGGGCTGTGCAATGAGTGACATTACATGGGGAAATACTCTGTTTGCATGGACATATTGGTATTCATACATGGGATTGCTCAGTTTGCCTGTAAAATTGTAGGATATTTGTTCGTGCAACTGTGTATGTATTTGATGTAGCTCATCTGTTTTCTGCGGTTCCCAAAATTTGGCCTTCCACATTTACATAAAAAATGTATGTTAAGTTATAAGTGTTATAACACAATACAACTCAATATAGTTAAGTTGTAAATATATTAAGGTAGAAGTATATAACCAACCATTGCCATTTTACTAATGAATTAGAAACATTGTTTAATAATAGTTCTAATTTCGTGCAGGAATTTCTGGCTAGCAATCCTTCTCTGACTGAAATCAGAGCTGAAATTCTTCATTATGCTACTTTTGAGCAAGAGATTGAGGATTTAAAACCTACTATTCTTGTAGGTCCAATTGAATTGCAGACAGGTATGAGTATTCCTTTTTCCTTTTACATAATGCAAAGGTAATAGATGAATGTAATCCTTATATCCTAAATCATCTGATTTATTGTATAAAATGAAGTTTATTGATTAATGTGTGCAATGATTGTAATCAGTGGTCATATAGGAATGGGAATTCTTAGAAATCTTTTTATTATTATATCTATGTGTGCTTCTTCCTACTTTAGATACTTTACAGTCTAATGCAGTGTATGACACAGACTGACTCAGGCTAAGTATAGACATTCAAAAAGCCTGAGGTGGAACCAATTTAAGTTTTGCACTTTATTCTAAACACCCTAGGTTAGACAGGGAATGAACAGAACAGACGTTCGCCCTTCAGTGGGAGTGGGCTTATAGCTTGTCTGCATTGGCCAAGGCCAGCAAGTTGAGAGCAATTTCACATCCTGCCTCCTGCACCTAAGCAATGAGACTCAGGAGTCAGCCAGCTGTCCCAGTCAGGGCCACCTACTATACACTGTGGCCAAGAAGTGTCCTGGACTGGGCCACTGACTTTCATGTGGCAGATAAGGACAAGGTCACCCAGACTGCCATTGTTGCTGGGGTACTGTGGCACCACCTCCAGACCATAAATTGCCAGTACTGGGCCTGCACTACCAGCAGCAACTGATGGAAACAGATTGTCCTGGGCACCTGGGATACTGGGCAGTGGGTCAAGACCTTCCACATGTGCCAGGCTACCTTCATGGATATCATTGTCCAGGTGGCTCCCACAACACACACCAAGACATTGGCATGTGGCAGTCCTTCACTTCAGGAAAGTGGGTGGCCATTGCTGCCATGAAGCTGCCCTCACCCCCCAGCAGTTACTGCCACATCACCGGCCAGTTTGGCATGGGCAAGACTATGGTTGTTGAGGCCATTCAGGAGGTGTACCTGGTCATCTAGGATATCCTGGTCAGCTGCTTCATCTGCCTCGTCAACCCACAGGAGGTGGTTGCTAGTTTCTATCAATGGGCTTCCCCAACTGCATGGGGGCTGTGGATGGCACCCACGTCCCCATCCTCTGCCTGGCCAAAGGTGCCCAGGTGTTAGTCAGTTGCAAGGGATACTTCTCTGTCATCCTGCATGGCATTGTCAACCACCAGGGCTGCTTCACTCAACTCTCTGCTGCCTGAGCGGGGAATGCCCATGATGTCCACATCTTCCACAACTCCCTGCTCTCTAGGCTGATGGAGAGTGGGTGCTATGCTCCTGGGGTCCCTGAATTCATCATTGGTAATGTCATGATCTCCCCATCATCATCATTGTCAGGGACTCGGCTTACCACTCATGTCCTGGCTGATGAAGCCCTATGTAGGACAGTTGGACCGCCAGAAGGAGAACTTCAACTATTGCCTGAACAAGCCCTGCATGATGGTGAAGTGCTCCTTCAGCCACCTTAAGGCATGCTGGTGGAGTCTCAGTGCACACTTAGAAGTGGATACGGAGAACCTGATGTGACTCATTGCATGTGTCCTCCACAACATCTGTGTGCTTGAGAGGGCTGTGGGGTGGAACCAGGGGTGGGAGGTGGCTTTTGAGCTAGCGGGGAGAGATAGTGGGGCAGGAGGCATTGCCTCAGCAGGTGCCATAGATTCCTGGCTCTCCCTCACTGGACCCCAGGAGGCCCATGTCATGCAGCAGGCCTGAGCACGGTGCTGCCTATCCCCACCAAAATTGTTGCCTTCCCCACAGCAGGGCTTGGGTCAGGAGGGGGACTGCAGGGAGCAAAATTAACTCCCAGACTCCCCAGCTGGTAGGTGAATGAGCTGGGGCAGTGGGCTCTCCTGCCAGACACTGTCCCAGTGACAGCCTGGCTCGGTGGGCTGCACTCTTCCCCCAGTTCTGAGTACTCCTGTATCCCTTCAGGACTGGCCTGAAACTGCTTGGGGATCCTGCGCACATGGGGTGACCGCCAGTATTGGGGGAGGCTGATTGGGTGTAGGAGTGTGGTGATGTCCCTGATGGCACTGGTGCCGCTCCTGTGTGCCATGCTTCTTGCTTATGGCCCTGTGCAAGGGGAAGTCAAGGTCTAGGTTCAGTGCACCTCAGTTCCCACATCCTGTGATGATGTGGGGATTAGCATGAATGGGACAGACTCCTTGTGAGCTGGCTCCACCAGCTGTGCTGTTGCCCTGTTGCCCCTGGGGACCTGCTCTTGGACTCAATTATCCTGCGATCCTGGGGCCTCCCTACACCTGCTCCTCTGGCAGAATCCCAATTGGTGACTCCTCCTGCCGCTGAGCAGTGTTGTAGGTGTGCATGGTCTCAACAGCCCTGTCCTTGGTGAGAGAGCAGGATAGCTCCTCAGAATGGCTTGGTCTCCCTCCAGGCCCTGGATCTTTCACTGGTGTCATGTATGTGGTTATACTGACGTGGTCTTGGCACTGCATCCAGTCCCTGTTGTGGCCCCACTCCTGCATCTGCTAGGTGATGCACTTCAAGACATCCCTGTTGCATTATACTTTCTGGAGCTGGTGCTGGATCTCCTCCTCATCCCAGATGGCAACGAGATCCCTCATCTCCCCATAGTCCCAGTTGTGTGCCCAGGGTTGCGTAGTGGAGGAGGAAGGGATGGGATGATTCATGATTTGCAGTGGTGCCTGTGGGATTTCAGTGTCTGTGGGTGGGTGAGGGTCTAGCTGCAAGGGGGTGGATGGAAGGCTGGAAGGGCAAATGGATGGAAGGAGCAGAGGATGTGCAAAGGTGTGGGTCCTGGTGTGTAGCTCTCCCTCTCATTGTAGCTGGGTGTGGCTCCTGCTCCCACATAACTGGGGCTCCCTTGGTCAGGCCATCCCCACAACCTTAAAATGTTCCAGGGGCTTCAAGCAGACACTCCATGATTCTGGCAATGCTGCATGGCCTGGCCTGGAAATTTCCATTGACCTTTACCTGCAAGACAGAGGCAGCTTGCCATGCCCCACCTGAAGGTTCCAGGGGCATCTGCTTGCTTGCCCCAGTTTGGATGCTCAGTGCCCTCCCCATACCCCACACTGTAGTACACTGTAGCACACTGTAGCTGTGGGCCAAAAAAAGCCTTGTGGCATGCCAAGTGCCCATGTCCTAGGTACCTACCGGCAGTGGCTGAGCCTCAGAGGCCACAGGGCCTCCATGCAGGCCCAGTCCCAATGTTCTGCCTCCTGCCACCCTGACCTGCTAGAGGCAAGCCTCCCACACTAGCTCCTGCTTGGGGAAGGCCATGCTGGGGTCTGAGAGCAGGATGCTTGGCTCTTGTCACTGAGATGTGGTGTGTTGGTACTAGGGTTGGGCTTCTGCAGGTCTGAGCCGGTGCCCAGGGCTAAGGGGATCGGTGAGTATGTGTATAATGGGTGCTAGGCCTGAGCTTCTGCAGAGTTGAGCTGGTATGGGCCATGGGGTGGGTGTGCAGGTGCCAGGGCTAGGCTTCTATGGGGCTGAGCCAGCATGCAGGGCTTTTCCTGGGTTCAGCATAAGGTATTTGTGTACATTGTGGGATGTTTCATGACCTGGTGGAGTAGCACAGCATGGGGACACAGGTGCTCAAGTGCTGGGGCTGGTTCAGGGCCACAGACACCTCCCTCCCTCCACCGGTGACAGCTGGCCAGAGGCAGGATGCAGGGCTATGGGGAGGGTCTGTGCTGCATTGGCTCTGTGGCAGCACAGAGGTGGGGGGTAGGTTAGACATTTGGCTGGAGCAGCCAAGTATGAACTGAGCTCCTGCATGCCTGCAATGTAACTTGAGTTAGGAGGGGATCTGGTGTAGAAGTTTGATAGAATGGTCTGCCCTAAATTGCTTAAGTGTGACAGTACATTGAGGTCTAACTTAGACTGGAACCCACCATTTTTAAACTGGTCTGTGTGTGCCGAACTTCAGCTGGCAAATTCATCAGAAGAAAAATAGTTTTTGTTCTTTTCCTTTTTTTGCCTTTTTGATTAGAAGCACTTTTCTGGGTTATAGGATTTTTCTGAGAGAATTTAACCCTGAAATACTGTCCTTAGGCAGACATGAATAGTAAGTCCATCAACACAGCCCTTAAATAACCCACATTCCACTCAAAGTGACTCATCATCAGTCCTTTTGTAGTTCTTTCAGGGCTCCTGTTTCTCCACAAAGGGAAATATGATTTGGTTTTGAAAAAAATTCCAAAAAAAGTAGGGCATATAAAGTGGATAAATATGCTTTCACGTAATCCTTCTTTGTGAATATAATGATCATATTAGGTTAGCTATCACTCATCTTCCATTGCTAGTGGTAATAAATGTTGTTTATTAAAATTTTCTTTTTTCAGAAATAACTACTGAGTCAAATCCCTTTTTAGTGTAAATCAGTTTAATTTCACTAGCTTTAATGGATCTTCATTGATTTGCAGAAAATGAGACTTGTCTGAGAATCTGAATAAATACAGTTTAATTGGACAATTTTGTTCTTTTGTTGTTCATCTAATTTTTTTTATTTTCTAGTGAAATCAACTTGTTTTTAAAGGTTTATAAAATGTACAAAGCAACCACAAAAATGAACCGGTACATTTGAAATGTTTATGAAGCAATTAAATGTTATAATTTGGTTCTGTTCATACAGCCATTCTTTTGACCAGAATTACATTTTAAAGATATATACATGACTTGTACATCAATAGTGTGGTTTTCTTGAGATAATTAAAATTTAGATGCAATAAAGCCATGTGTGTGTTTTTCAATTCAGGGCCATTGAAATTAGCTTTGTCAATTGAAGCCAAAGCATGGAAAATGCTGCTCTGTCGTTACTTAAATGAGGAATACAAGAAGAAAATGACTGACATTATATCATTTATAACTGAATATTTAAAGAAATTATCTCGACCCATTCGTGACTTAGATGATGTCAGATTTGCAATGGAAGGTTTATCCAACATCCGTGATAAAGAAATACAAATAGATATGACTTTAGGACCTATTGAGGTAAAACCATTCTTTTCAGACTTTTTACTTAAAACTTTACTTAAAATGGGATGGCCCCATCTCATCCCCTGGCCAAATGTGTCCTGCTCATGGGGGTCCCAGGCTGGTCTTCATGGAGACCCAACTTGCCTGCTCTATCTGGCACCCCTGGCAGTGGGTAAGGGGCAGACAGGCAGGGGTGGCCAGGTGGCGGGGCCAGGTCCAGTGGTGGTGACAACGCTAACAGAGGCAACCGGAAGGAGCCACCACCATTGGGGCTGTTGGGAAGCAGAGTCTGGTTGCTATGCTGCTCCAGCCCTGTACTTGAGGGTGGCGGGACTGGGTGCACTCACCGCAGCGTGGGCTGCCCCCCACACTGTGCCAGGCAGGGCTGAGGGACTCACTGTGGTACAAATAAAATACCTTGGTAGGCTGGATCTGGCGCATAGATCATATTTTGCCTATCCCTGGTATATATACCATGTATGTACTATGTACTATGTTTTTTCCATGTTTCCTAAATAAATTAATCAATTTAAAGAATTGCAATTTTTGTTTATTTGTCCACCTTTTATGGAGAGAAAAAAGGTTAAATACTAAATTTTTTCTTCCAGAAAGGTTGTATATCAGCATATCAAAAAGGTTTCAAATTGTGTCACCAGTTTTGGTACCTTCATATTAAAAGGGGGGCTGTGGGAGGTATGTAATGGAACTTTGTACAGGAAAGACACAGAACTAATTATTTTTCAGGATCAAATTAAAATAAATTCTTGGAGCAGAAGCATAATACCCCAGATTTTCCTATGTTGTTCATTCACATTGTTATAGGCATATAGGAAAAGGTAATTGATTGTATATTTTATTTTATTTTAGTTGTATAAATGTATCCTAGGTGCTTTGAGGGGAGTTTAAAGAAAAGGTTTTACACCAGAGGGTTTATAATCAGTAGATCCTGCAAACATTTATTCAATATATTTTATAAGTAAATAGTTTCATTGATATTAATGGGATTATTCATATGACTAAAGTCACTGCTAGGGTATGTGTACACAACACAATGCACACTACATGAGTGCAGTACTGTACAGAGGTAATTTCCAGGCTTGGTCAAACTGTGGAACAACACACTGACCTCAGGCATAGACACACTGGCACCCAGGTCCCCGTTCCCACCACAGCAGGAGCATAGATCTGCTTGGTATACAGGGGAGTTGAGACAGGTGAAACAGGAGGCTGGGCAGTTAGAGCACGGAGCAGGAGATTAGGCTGTTAGAGGTCACTCTCAGCCTGTGCCAAAGCCAAGTGACTGTGGCATAGCTTGTTTATAAAGGACTATAGTATGGCAGTGGCAGCAGGAAAGATGCTTTTCTTCTCCACTGCTATTGTATCTGCAAAGTATTGTCCAGAGGAACTTTTCTGGATGGTGAATGGCTTGGTAAATCCTGATCATCTCTGCCTGGAAATTGTCATCCATGGTCTTCTGTGATTATTTCAACACCTACTTCAGAGAAATAATGTTTGTATAAAATGTGGCTTGGGAACCACCAATTTAGCTATAGAGTCTATATTTTGAGTTGGGAAGCTCAGCCTTGTCTGGACCAGTTTCATTTGTTGTGATTCACCAATGCAGATGATGAGTTTGGGGAGATACAGGTGAGCATTTGTGAACTGGATTGATCACAATCCTGCCTTATAAAACCAGCCCCAGGCAGATTGGAGCCATTGCTTGTAAGCATGGTCAGTGCCTCATTTTGGGAGGGTGAGTGCTGGACATACTTAAGTTGCATTTTTCCATCCCTTACTTGAGAAAATCTCTTTTGACATTGACTTTCTCATCCCTGTTTCCCCTTTTGGGGAAGGTGATTGTATGGGTGTCACTTGACAGCTCCAGATGTATCCGGAGTCTTTTGGATACCTGGCTTTAGTTCATGATCTTTTCCTGAACATTGATAGGGGAAACAGTACCCTGTTGATCCTATTAATTCTTTCAGTGATCTGTTCTTACAGTTGACCATAAGGTGCTAATAACACATTTTCATGATCTGGTGGGTATTTGCAGGACCACCCTTCCATGCTTTCCTAGCAGTAAGGTTTTGAGGGTGGTGATGGGCAAGTGCTTGTCCTGTAGGGACCTTTCCTGTGGGGTGTCCCTGGGTTTCATCTTGTTACCCCTCCTATTCAATGTGTACCTGAGGCCACTGGGAGAGACTTTGTGAAGGTTTGGACTGCTATCAGTATGCTGATGACACCCAGTTCTATCTTTCCTATTTGTCTGGGCCTTCAAAGTAGCAGAGTCTGCAGTCTTAGAATAGCAGCTGTGGAGACACTTTTTTGACAAAAGATGTGAGAGTGGGAACAGGTTCAGGTAGCTTCTCTTTTGTGGTTGATGCCTGTGAGAAAGATTATAATGTGACTAATATCTCAAAGTGTGTTCCTGAGAGTTAAAGGGATGCATGGAAACCCCCTCCCCACCATGTTGTTAGAGGTATCTTAAGCTGCCCTGAATAAAGACAGTCTTCAAAATGGCCACCAGACAGCTTACAAACTTCACATAGCCATTTATCTCAGGTTACCATAACTTTTTTCCTTCTGATAGGAAATTATAAAGTAAACTAATGATCCTATTTCCTCCTTTAAATAATTTATGTCCTATTTCTATAATGAGGGTAATAAAATCCACAGCATTAAGAGAACCAAACTACTGGTAAGTAGAAGATCTATCGATAAACCATCCTCATCATAACAAAGTTATATAATTAAATGCTCAGTAAATCAGTGAATATATTGTAATAAAACTTGTTATAAATGGGAGGTTTGGTGCAGATAATAACTCAGAGCTGGGAAGATTTCTTAAAATGTATAGTATATCCAAATAATTCAAAATATGAGTAATCTGCTTTGCCATAGTGGTGTTAAATAACATTGAATATGAAACCAGCCCAAGTCTTGGGTTTCTAAGTTTCTTCCAGTTCTGCTTATTAGAATACCCTCATTTGCTGTTGTCCTGATCAGTAACTGATCTGTTTTCATCCAAAAATTCTCATTTACAAAAAATAACACAACTTAAATGTTGGACCTAGACTAATTTGGCAGTATTCCTTTAATGTATTTCTTACAAATATGTTTGTATTCCTATAAATAAATTAGAAATACTGCATCTGTAATTTTTTGTTTTTGATCTATAGGAAGCCTATACTATTTTAAACAGATTTGAAGTTGAGGTGACAAAAGAAGAATCAGAAGGAGTTGATACACTCAGATATTCTTTTAACAAATTACTGACCAAAGCTGTAAGTATCGGAAGCTGCAACCTTTTTTTTCTACTTATTAGGAGACAGTCTGAATCATGAGGCTCAGCTTAGAGAAAGGAAACATTGCACAAGCTGTACTTCTGAAAGTGTAGCCAATGTAGGAATTGTCCTCCTTTCTTTCAAAGTGGGTGATAGGTTTAAATTTTTCTAGTGCCTTTTTCAATTTTATTGCACTGTAGGTGTATATACAATGAATACGCCCCAGGCACCTGAGGTCACAGAAGTTTGGCCAGCAATGCCTGTTTGGTTTTATGCCATGTAATAAGAGCATAAAGACTAGTACAAAAATATAAGAACATTGCATTGGAAGGGACCTCCCAGGCTACTGAGTCCAGTTATCTGTGCTCACAGACCACTTCTTGTACAAAAGCGTCCATAAAATCATCCACTCCAATCTCTGCTAGGTAGCATATTCACAAAGTACCCTATAAAAAAACCTAACCCACAGGTAAAGAGTAAGGAGAGATCAGGGTGTGTCCACTGCCTTTAGTTCCCTCTCATTTGTCCACTATTTGCCAGGTGCTTGGATGATCCTAGGAAGACCCATGTCCTTTGCTAGAGAGGAAGGCAAAAGACCATATAATCCTTGCAAGTGTAACCTGGAGAAAAAAATCCTTTTGGACTACTAATCTTGTGATCAGTTTTATACTGAGCATGCGAGCAAGGCCTTTCAGCCACACATTTGAGAGTACCTCATACAAACTCTGGCCACTTGCTACAGCCAATTTCAAAAGCTTCAGTGTTGGGTGGAAACCAAAAAACAACCCAAAGCCTCAAAAGCTAGATAGCACATTCATGGAAAGAGGAGGCATGTGGGACTGGTCAGTATGCAGTTGTCAAGCCACCTGTCCCCTCTTCAGCACCCTCCTCTGCAGTCCTCCCTTCTGCTCTCTCCTTCTTCTGTTTACCTAACTGCAGATGAGCCAGGTATCTGTAGTGAGAGTAAGCACAGGTGGCTTGAGCTGTCTACAAGGCACAGATTTGCAGTCTGCAGCAGGTGGTCAAGTTGCAAGCTCTGGCCCACTGGGACAAAAGGTTGCTAACCCTGATTTATGGGGATTCCAAATACAGGCAGCCCCGGCTTGAGCGCTACAGTGAAACCGCATTATTTAAAATACATACCCAGTTTCACTTAGTGCTCAGAGCGTTTCATTATAATGCTCAGTGCAGAAGTGGTGGCAGCAGCAAGTTCAGAGGTGAGTGACAGCCAGTGGGGGCCCAGGGTGGGGCAGAAGGGTGGGATTTGCTCCTGCACGTGGTACTGGAGCTGGCAGTGAGATAGTAGGGTATGGTGGGGGGGCATGACCAGGGAGCCTGGGCTGGTGCCCAGGGCCCAAGGTGGGGTAACAGAAGCCCGTGGCTGGCATGCAGGTGGGGAGGAGTGGCAGTGGCAGCAAGAAGGGGCAGGTGGGCAAGTGGCATGAGCATGGGGTCCAAGCTAGAGGGGCAGCAGAAGCACGGGGCCCAGGGTGGTAGGACATGTGTGTTGTCCACTGCTGTAGGCCACAGTGGGGCTGAGCCTGTGGAGCCTCCCTGGCCCCCAGGCTGCAGCCCCACTGCCCCTGGCCTGCAGCCCATGCCCTGTTCCAGTCACATACTCACTCGCAGGGCATGAAAACTGTCCTGAACGTAAAGCAATCTGGCAGCGACATATAGTTCCAGTGTCAGGTGTCCTGGAGGGTGCCCCCGCTGGGCAGAGTGGGGTGCAGGTTCTGGTTGGCGGGTGGGCCCACTGCTTTCCACGTGCCAACCAGAGCCTTGCTGTGTAGGGACTGGGCCAGCAAGTTGTTCAGAACCAATTATATTTATTACATTAAATCCTATGAGGAACTGGGTTTCAATTAACGCTGTTTTGCTTAGCACTCTGTTTTTCCAGAACCAATTAAGAGCGCTAAGCGGGGGTTGCCTGTACTTAAATCTACTTATCGCAATCTCTGATTATTGTTCTGTGAACACCCCTATTCTATCCTGTCATCCTGTTCATAAACTTGTCGAGCTCCATATTGAAGCAATTCATGTTACCTGCCCTTACTATCTTGTTTGGAAAATAATTCTAAAACTTAACACTGTGACCATTAAAAGCCCTTTTCTAAATTCCAGTCTAATTAGTATGTGATAAGTTTGTAACCATTTGTAACTTGTGTGATACATTTCTTTCACATTTAATACCTATTCTCCCTTCCTAATCTATACTCTATGGATAAATTTATACAGGGTAATCATATTGTCTCTCAACCTTCATTTTGCTGAACTAAACGAGTCAAATTCTTTTAGTCTCACTTTGCAATACAGGTTCTCCATTCTCTGAGCATCCAAGCAGCCATTCTTTTTATCTACTTCAGTTTAAATTCTTCTTTTTGAATATTGGTGACCAGAAATATACATCATATTCTAAATGAACCATTTCTAATAGCTTATACAGGGTACCTAGTACTACTTTGTAACGAGTTATACCTCACCTAATACATCTGAGAATGCAATAACTGTTTCTTGTGGCTGCATCCACTGGTGGCTCATAATATTCCTATGATTGACTAGTACATACAGGTCTCTCTCTGCCTCTCTTGTCTCCAGTCTGTGAGCGCCTATGTTACAGTGAAAGGTTTTGGAGTTATTTCTTAGGAGCATAACATAGCACAAGGGAGGTAAAATACTGCTTGTGGGCCAGATTCAGCTCATGGAGGGGCTTTGTCTAGCCCACAGTGGGTCCCTTGGTCCTGCCTGGCCAAGCACCATCAGGCGGTGGCACATCCTGCTGCCCCCTGGGCTCGCAGCAGGGCTGGGGTGGCTCCACAGCAGGATTGCCTTTCTAGGCAGACCTTGCGGTGACAGCTTCTTTCACCTGCTGCTGCCACTGGCCCCAGCCCCATGGTACCAGTGGGGACTCGTGCCACAGTCCTGACCAGGCACACCCCACACCTTCTCCAGAATCTCTGGCTAATGCAGTAACAGCACCAGCTAGGCAGAAACTATTGATCAGCACAGGGAAAAAATGGCCCTTTCTCCTTGCTGCTGCCCAGTGCTCCCTGCTACAGCCTCTCGTAGCCTGTGAGGGGCTGCCCTGTGGCTCTGCCACCTTCACCGCCACCTCCTAATCCTTGACCTTTGCCACTGAAAGTCCCTCCCCTCCCCTCAGAAGTACTTCATTTGGGAAGGTGGGGGTTGCAGTTTTAGAAGTGGAAAAAAATACAAATTACATTACTAAAAATCAAACATCCACAATAATATATTTTAATTTTATTTTTAAAAAATGTCCTCATTTGCATGTGTTTGCATCATTTATATAGAAGTGATTGTATACTAGCTCAAAATGAAGTCTTAATCTTGTATATTATGGGGTGTTTGGAGGGGTGTGGGAGGGTATGATGAATGGGTAATGAGGTTTGTGGGGAGCTGTGTGAGGGGTGTGGGGGTATATGTGGATGTGGGTAGGTGGGTATGGGAGGTTTGTGGGGATGTGTGGGTGTGTGGAGGGGGATGCGTGCATAGCAGTGAGCAGGACTCCCGCCAAAGGCATGTGAGTGTGTGTGAGGGAGTGCATGTGGGGAAGGGTGTTGGGTTTGTGGGGTAAAGGGGGAAGGGTGTGGGTGGGTGCAGTGTTTATGGGTTGTCTGACTGTGTGTGGGGATGGGTGTGGTTGTGGAGTTTGTGGGTATAGTGGGGTGTGCATGGGATCCTCCCCTGCCCCTGCCTCTGCCCCACAACAGCCCAGAGCCCATGCACTCTACAGTGCCTTGCTACCATCACCAACAGCATGCAGCCTAAGCCCTGCTCCACACCTGCTCTGGACTTACCTTGGCAGGAGCGGACCAGCCAAAACTTCTGCTCTGCACCACCTGCCCATGGCAGCCTCTTGCTGCTGCTGGGCCCTTCTTGCTGCAGCCGCCTGTGGCCAGGCTGCCCTGCATCTCCACTGCTGCTGTCACTGCCATGTCCAGGCTGCCCAGTGGGGTAGTGGTGGCAGTGCAGAGAAGCTGAAGGGCAGCCTGGGCATGGGCTCTGTGTGGCTGCAGCAAGAAGGGCATGACAGTGGTGAGGGGGAGGGGGCCACTTTTTCCCCACATTGAGCAGCTGTTTCTGCCTGGCTGGTGCCACTGCTGCTTCTCAGCTTGGGCGGGTGAGTCCAGGGGCAGGGTGGGGTGGGGCAGAGTGGCATTTTGTGTGTGGGTCCCCACTGGTATCGTGGTGCTGGGGCCAGTGGTGGTGGCAACCAGAGGGAGCCACTGCTGAGTTGTCCCAGCCTCACTGTGTGCCCAGGGGGCAACAGGATGCACCATGGTCAGGGGGTGGCTGGGTCAGTCAGGACTGGGACCCACTGTGGGTCATACAAAGCCCCTCCACACTGCATCTGGCCTACGGGTTCTATTTTGTCCATCCCTGCTCTAGCCTGGGGGTGGTGATAGAGGGCTGTCTCTAGTCCCCACAGAACTTAAAAGGGTTTGCAAGCCAGCTAGGCCCATTGACAGGCTTCAGAGACTTTTAAAGTTCCCAGCTCTTGAACAGCCTGACAGCCAGCTGAAGCCAGTCTTGGGAGCCCTTTAAAGTTTCCAGTGCTTTAATGTGCTACTGGTGTTAAGTCTGGCATGTTACCATTTGTTGCAGGAAACTTGCATATATTCCGCAACAAATGTAACATCTGGAGGGAACAAGAGGTACATTACATCTCTAGAAAACCCAGTTACTGTAAAGGGGAGTGTGTTTGTTTTCTCTTCCTTCTTTGAATACGTTAGAATAAAACTTGCACTTTTTGCTATTTTGTTGCCACATTAACTTTCAATCGAGAAGCTGAAGTCACAGCATCATGTAAGACAATAAAGCTTTGAAGATTTTATAAAACCTTCTTTATGTTTGATGCTCTAAATAAAGTATTCTTTTGCTTAGGGCTTCTGTAATTTTGATGATATATAAATAGATGTATCTCTCTGTATTATTAGTCTTGAATAAATTTGTTTAATATACTTTTAAATAATAGATTCTCTTTTATACTTTAGGTCAGTGTTCAAGATGAGTTGGTTCAAGTTCAGCCCAAATTTAAGAGCAGCCTACTAGAATCAGTTGCAGTTTTTCGTGAGGATGTGTCCAACTTTGAAACATCATATGGAATGGTAATTAAGTTTACAAGTTACCTACTGCGCTTTTGTCTTGTTTTGTCAGTATACGTGACTAGCACCAGTTCAGTGCCAACATTTTGATCCACTAATTTGCCTCTGTGAATGCTTGAGGGCATTTTATTAAATAGTCTTTCTGTCATGGTTTTGGGGCAAGCTAAACTTCTCATTCCCCTCAAGTTCACCCCTCAGGTGACTGTTCTTCAGTGTCCACTTTAATAGTGAAAACATCTAGTCTTACCACTCTGAATTGGATCTCTGATGATGAGTTTTAGTCTGCCTATTTTCAGTCACATTAATCAAATAGACCAAATTAGTTTGGTACTGCAAACTTCTTTCTACAGGACTTTAAGATGGGAAAACTATTAAAGGGTCTCACAAAGAGTTTCTAAAAATGACTGTTATTTAACCATTATTCATTTTTTTCCAAGGATACAAAATATGCAGAGGAAAGTTATCAAACAAAAAATTACCATCATATGTATTTCTCTTAAAGCACACCTTCATCTTTCCAGATAGGCAAGTGCCACCCTGCCCTGCCTTCTGCCTTGCAGGCTTTAGTAAAGCTTATTAGCTCAGTTACCTTTATCTTGGGGTTGGGTGAAATGGTGCAGTAGGTATTGTCAGTTTGATGACAGTGCTTTCTTTCCCTGTTTACACTCATTTCTATAAGGTTTTCTTTCTTAGACTAATCTGTTTAAGGCAGAAGATAGATTAGGGTGACACCTCAGAGATTAACTTGGTTGAAAGGCATGAACTTTCATAGACAACAAGCTGCTTTGCCAGCTGTTATGAAAGGACAGAAAAAAAAGGTTTTATATGGAAAGGAAAGGGACATGGGGAAAGAGCACTGGTAAGCAAGGTAAACAGTGGGTTGATGGGATCAACTGAGATGCATGAGGAAGCTAACACTCTTTTAAAGGTCAATCCTAAAGTTGACCTAAAAAAATAAACTTTTCTAGCCTTAAGATTGCCAGGCTGGAGTTATTTACTGCTTAATATCTTTCCCATTATTTCACCAAGGATCCATATTAATTTTAACAGCACAGTATTCCTTTCATTGTTTCAGTTTCTGTTGCTTTCCCTCTTACAGCCTCCTTTGATTTAGCTCTTTGTATTCAAGCGTGAAAATATAAAACTGGTAAGGCAAAGTGCATATACTTACAAATATACCTAACTCCCAGTTTTCCACACCTTCCTTGTTATGAGAAGACAAATTTAGAAGTAGAACAGATTTGCCACCTGCCATTTTCTGCATTTGCAATTACTAAGCAATTATCGTCTGAACCAATTTCAGCCTAGAAACCATGTGTTATCTTTGGGAGAGTATCTTCCAAAGGAACATGGAATGTTTCAGAATGACAGTTATAAAATTCTCTTTAATCATATAATTGTCTCTGACATGCATGCAAAGCTAATGGAGACTACAGTTATGTGAAATTATCTTGATTTTTCAGAAGCTGAAGATATAGCCTTTTTTGGTGAAAAACCTGTCTTTAATAACCAACTCACTTTTTTGAATATCACTGGGAGTGGAATTTTCAAAAGTACCTAAGGGGCTTGGGAGCCTAATTTCTATTAATATTCACTTAAAAGCTTTTGAAATGTTTCTCACAAAGAGACTTAAAAAATACAAGAGAGTTTTATGAGTGTATTGCTTTTCGAGATGCACACTACGTACTCTGTTTTTCCAGTCTTCTTAGTATTAACTGATATTTTTTCTTAGCGAGAGGATCTGAGAGAATTTATAGCACTAGATTCCTTCGTGTTAGATTCATGTCTGATGCTTTTACAGTGCTAATGGGCACTGCTTTTTAACAAGTGATTCAAAGGTCTGTGCATCGTTAGTGTGTGTAACAGGGCCCTAACTGAGACCCTGGTACTAGAGGGATGTGGACAGCTGAAGACAATTACAACTCGGGGGGAGGAGGTGGGCCCTGCCCATGGAGAACCAGTGAGGCCCGGACCCGAAGGATAAGAGGGAGAGAAGGCAAAGGAGAAATTGCCTTCGGGCACCACAGAGAAAGAGAGAGAGAGAAGCTGCGAGAGAGACCCTCCAGAGAGAAGGATCTGGAAGAGGGACCCTGACACAGGATCAGAGGGAGCAGAAGGATCCCAGAACACAGACCTCTCCTTGGCTTACCTTGAGTCCATGGGAACGGTGGTGAGCACATGAAAAAGCGGAGCCACGCCACAGGCTGGAGCTGCAGCCGGCATTAAGGATCGGGGAGGCTACATCGAGCCAAAGGGGCAGTGGGAGGGACGACCCCTACCCAGATCTCTGAAGAGTCCGGGTGAATCCAGGACCCTGAGGGGAGAGAGATGCCAGGTGGTGGCTGTAACAAGCCACTAATCGGACAATTAATGGTGGGAAGCTCCCAGCAGGAACAGAACAAAAGAAAACTTTTCTTTTCAGTTTCTTCCTTTGATTAAGATAAGCGGGCTGGGACTCAGACAAGACTGGACCCTGAGGAGGCAGGGATCCAGCACCCTGCGCCCGAAGAGAAGGGGGTCGGGAACAGGAGACCCCAGCACACGGCGGACACCAATCCAGGAAAGACACAGCAAGGGAATGCTAACGAGCCACTAATGAGATAATTAGCAGCAGATACCAGGACTTTGTGCGGTACTTCCCTATTGTATTAGTGGATTGGGACCAGCCAGGAGGCCTGGGGGATCCCCGAGACTGGTCTGTCGGACTGCTTCCTCCTCCAAAAGGGGTTCCTGTAAATAATAGAAAGAAAAGAGATGAATAAAAGCACCTGCATTATACCTGATCCAGCGTGGTACTTCCTGCGGGTACTCCCTTGAATAACACCCCCTTCTTCCCTATTTCTATTAAGATCCAAGTCATGGCAGGTGAGAATCAAGAGGCTTGGGGGGATACTCTGCGCGGAATTAAAAAAATCTCAATATAGGAATTTTAGCGCATATTGGGTATTGTACTAAGTGATCACAAGTCCAAATTAAAAATAAAGGAGGAGTTGTTAAAAGTAGCTCTTTGGGCATGATTGCTTTGTTCTTGAAAGAGGAAAATTATGAAGAACAAGGTATACTGTCCACTAATGGGTGATGCTCGAGGGCACTCTTTGGCTTTGTCCTTCAGTGGTGATGAAGACAGGGACAAAGAGGTTTCCATTATTTTCCTGTTTTGGTTCTTTTGAATTTAATCTTTTTTTTGCTGGGGTGGGAGGGGAAGAAGGTTTATGCATTTTAGATGCCATCCCCTCCTGTGTAAGAGAGGAGGACATAGGTTTGAGAGGGACATGGCAGGGTGGAAAGAAGGATCTCTCCTGGGTGTGAGAAGAGGGAGTGGGAGTGGGTGGGTATGATGTTGGGAAGTGGAAAGAGGTTTTGTGTAACTGGTGTGAATGGGAGTTGGGAAGTGCAGTTAAGATGGATCAGAAGGTTTGCTTTCCTGGGCAGTAAGCAGGAAAGCATGAGTTCATGGGGTGGAGTGGAGCTTAAAGTTTAGGGTGTCAATTGGGGATTCTGCTGCCGTTTCTTATCTTGTGGGTTCTTATTGTGTTTATTGTAAGCTGCTCACAGCCTTTCTGTGTATGGTGGGATATAAATCGAAAGATAATAGTGATACTACTACTACTCTTCTTACAATTACTTATCACTACTACAACTACAACGTTTGATTAGATGGACATTTGTGTCCATTTTAAATAAAATAATTTCCCTGTCCCATTTTAAATAAAATAATTTCCCTGTCCCTGTCCTCTTTTGCCATTAGTAGGATCCATGGACATTTCAACAGTTCATATGTGGCTTTTTTTGTACCATGACAGCTTAAGTAATTTTTGTATGTGTTTATGAATAATAGGTATACACTTTGCTGTAGTTCACTGAAGGGTTAATATTTATTGTTGATTACAATTTGTATATTTTAGGAAGGACCTATGGTTCCAAATATACCACCTCAAGAAGCCAGCAATAGACTGCAGTTATACCAGGTAACAAAAATGTTAGTTTTCAAATGTTGAATTGAGATTCATTGTTGTGAATCAAAACCAGTTTAGAAAAGATTGATTATTGTTACTAGAATTAAAGGTATCAAAGGACATCTTTTACATCACTCTGTTTATTAGTGGTAAAATCTTATGGACAGAGAAGGGGGTTTTCTTTATGTAGAAGGATTGATTTCTGAAGCAAAGATACCTAATGAACGTATAACTTTGCTTAATTTGCTTTAGTCATAAACAGGAGATTTATATCTGTGTACATCCCATAGTCTTAGCGTTCTTTTTTTCTCCATTTCTACATACTTGTCTCTCAGCTCAATATTTTCTATTTAACGTTACCTTTATGGTCCTAGAACCAAGATACTGATTCTGTCCAAATCAGCTTGAATAAAGTAACTTTGAAACTAATTTTCTTTGAGAAATCAGGCCTTCTTTGCTGTTCTTTATGTACTATAGTCATTTGCCTCTTAAAAGTGAAGACAAGGTGAATGTAAAATATTGCCAAATCCAAGGAACAGTGATTTGCATTGTCTGTGCAGTTGTAAATTACTATAAAAGTATAGGTCTCCTCAAATTATCACTTTGCTAAAATTCAGGTATATGCCATCTACTACAGTTTACTGCATTCATTTTTTAGATTTCTTGTTCTGTCAAATAATGCAGTAAAGTTTAAAATAGCAGACAGAGCTCAACTGCTACAGTAATAGTTATGTTACATACTACAGTTAGTGTTATCTGTTTGCTATGGTTGTTTATGCCCTAAGGTTGTAATATTTCATAATAATGTTTATTTGGTTGTCTAGGGTCTCTGTTCAGCCTATTTTATAGCTTGGTATATAGGGCAAGGAAGGCAGGGAAGGCACCTGGCTCTAGCACATGGAGCTTCCCTCCCTCCTGTGTGAATGCAGTGGCTCCACAAGTGCAGGGAGCACTGGCAATACAGGTAGCCACATGGATGCCACACCACTCACTGCCATGTGCAGCTCTGGCTGGAGCTGTGCCCCACCGGGCACCTGTGGTCTGAGCGCCCAGCCTGCTGCTGTTGCCTCTGCCACCACCTACTGGGCTTGTCTGCCATGGACATGTGTGGGGGTCCCCACACTCTCTATCTACATGCTGCCCACTCTAGCTCCACACTGCTACCACCCCCTATCCCCATGGGCACGGGCTCTGCCCTGCCACCAGCCCCAAGCTCTGTACTCCCTCCCAGCTGCAACCCTCCCTCCACTGCTTCCCTACCTGCTGCCCAGAGCCTGGAGAAGACTGGGGAAGTGAGCAGGTCCCGGGGGCTGTGGCAGCAGCAGTCTTGTATGGAAGCTGCAGGCCAGCCAGCCAGGCCCTTCCGCCTATGAGGGTGGGAGCCAAGCAGTAGGGTACATTTTTGGAGCTATGTGTACATGTGGGCACCTCACTCCCACCCTCAGGAGTGGAAGGGCTGGATGGGGTACAATTTGTTGGTGGGCCCCGTGGGCCAAATGAAAGTGCTTGGCTGGCTGGATCCATCTTGTAGGTCGTATTTTGCCTATTCCTGACCTAAGCTCTGCAGAAGAGCAGGAGTTTAAACATACTCTTATGCCTAGTGTTTCCTGCTGAATAGCTGAACTTATCTCCCTGTCAGCACCTAGATATTCTGAATTGATCTTGGGAGGTGCCTACATTTCTCCATTTGTTTATATTGTGGACCTAAGTGCCTCATACTGTCAAATTAGATCATCCTCCAGGGGCAAAATGCCTAAATTTTAAGTTTTGCAATACTTAGGTGGAGCTATCTGTAGGGTCAATTTGGACATGGCTCCAAAATGTTAATAAGTCTATTAAATTGTAATATACCCCATTTAGAGGCATTCATTGTCACACCTGGAAAAAAAATAACCATTCTAGGCAGAAATAAGTAGGATTCAAAACTGAATGTATATCCCTTTGAAAAGAAAGGACATTATTTAGTATCTCTTTATATATGTAGTACTCTGACTTAAGACAGGTTTAGAATTGGACAGTGGATTGTTATATGTGACAGGGAACAAGCTAGGGGCCAGATCCCATGCTGGCCCACCCACCTGTCTCTATGGGGCAATCCACCCTGCCTCTTCTGCCATGACTTTGCTGTTCTCAAACTGGTGGTAAATGCAGGAGACGGCCTATTACTTGCCCCAGTGCCAGGGGGCACTATCTGAGGCTCTTACCTTCCCTGCATCACAGCCCATGCCTCGCAGATGGCATCCATGTGATGTTCTTAACCCACACCACGACTGGTGCTCCAGGGTCTTATGGGGACTCTCACTCTCCACCCTGGAGCAGCAGGTCATTGTGCTCAACTATAGGTCTTACTTTTGACCGACACTTGGCCTCCTAGGAGTAGAGGACTTACCAGGGTCAGGACTTGCCCCTCATGTTCTGGTTGAGCACCCAGCTTGGCCTCTGGTCCAACTACAGCTTCAGGCATCCAAAGACCTACCTTGGCCTACTTCCCTCTCCTGGGATTCCTATACACCCATGCTAGGGCCTCTATACCATGCCCCACCCTGGGATCTTTGCATCATCTTCCCAATCAACTATTCATGGGGCTGGCCCTTGCACTGCTCTTCAGGCTTACTCCCAGTTCGGCCCTACTCAGCGCACCCTGGGACTGCCCTTCAGGCCTACTCTTGATTCAGTCCTACTCAGCTCCCCTCACGCACAGTCCTTCAGGCCTACTCCCATTCAACCCAACTCTGTATGGGGCCACACAACTCCGCCCTCTTCCCTTGGGCTTTACTACACCACCCTCTTCCCTTGGGGTCTCGGGGTCAACCACTCCCATAGCACTCTGTTTACCATACCTGGCCCCACGACACTCAGTCCCTGCGGTCTTACACCCCCCTCATGGGCTCAGGTGGCCACAGCCATGCCTGGCCCCACTCCTGCTTCCAAAGCCCACCCAAAGATGGGGGCTGGGGTTAAGGCGCCCCTCCTCGCTTTTCACCAGAGAGGCAACTGGCCTGGCATTTCCTGGGAACTCCCACACCACCAGAAGCCTCACCAGGCCACCCTTCCCTGGCAGGGTGCAGTTTTAGGTCATGCCCAGGGTCAGGAGCCTCCAGCTCCTACCTGCTAGATGTTCCATGCGGCTCAACCAGGTGATGTTTCTATCTGGGCTAGCAGCAGCAAACTGCTGTGTTTATTTAGACAGCCAGTGTTCTAAAATGGCTGTCACAATCAAGCACCTGCTGACTGCTTGACTGAGCCCTTAAAGTGGCAGGCACTGCAAGTGCCCTGCCATATTATAATTAGAGAATTTTTACGATGATAAAATCTATATTTTCATAGCATTAAAAAATAATTAATCTTAAGCATTAATTTGAATTTTTTCAGGCTAATTTTGATGAACTCTGGAGAAAATTTGTCACTTATTCATCTGGTGAACAGCTGTTTGGATTGCCTGTCACAGACTATGAAGTTTTACATAAAATAAGGTAATTGCTAGAAAATAGACCAATCTACAAGAACGTATCGTCTGCTTACAGACATAAAAAAAAAACCAGGCTCTACTAGAAGAAGCCGTGTGTTAGTTTTACCCAGCTCCACATAGTCTGTATAGATCGGGCACTTCAGCGGAGCTTTTTGGTGCTTTAATCTAATAGCTTATTCAATCAGCTATTAGATAAAAGTGCCAAAAAGCCCCACTAAGGCACCCAATCTATACAGACATTGGGCAAGCCAGGTCCATCTAATGTGATGCCTTTTCTGGGCATGCTGTGGGCTTGGTGCAGGGCCATGTGGAATTTAAAGTAAAGCACCACTTCCATTTTTTTCAATGTCCGTAAGCAGCCTTTAAGTGTATTACAAAGTTTTTGTATAGGAATGAATAGAAAACAGGTACGTGAACAAAATTATGACACATTTTTGTCAGAATATATGTAAAATAAAAGAATTTTGGAAACCTTAACAGAGAGAAGGAACTGGGAGAGATGAACAAAGAATAGTTATGGGCTTGAACCAAAATAGAATTGGATCTGCAGCATCAAGATTGATTGGATTCTATTGATCACCAGACTTTGTGAAAGAATTAGATTGTAGAATGGCATGGACTAGAGTCAAGAAATTCTGTTTCAGCTGGGAGAAGAATGACCAGGGACTAGTAAGAACTGTAAAGACAAAAGCATTTTAAGGATCTGGAGAAATGATATAGCTGCAAAGATGGGTAAACCACCACTAGTGCTCCAAAAAATATTTGTATTTCTGTAATCATTGATCAGTATTCAAGATCTCTCTGCCTGGCTAGTTCACCTAAGTGTTCATGTAGTTACTGAATTTATTCAATAAGATGAGGTTTCCCCCTGGATGCCATGTCATCAACCAAGCAGAAAGTGTTGGCTGTATCCAGGAGGCTTGATGGCTGTTGGGTCTGCTAAGTGGCTCTGCATGGGAGGTATAATGATGACATGCTCCAGCATGAGCATCTGTCAGGTCAGCTGCAGACACACATGTTAAATGTCCCTAAGTCTTCAGCGAGACATGCGCAGGTCAACAATGAGGACATGACACAACTCCTGGGTCTGTTGGCTTTTGTGAGAGAGCTAGGGATATATTGCAAGGTGCAGGAACAGAAACTGACATACTTGCAACTGACAAGAGAGGGGGCACTCAAGGTCTGTTCTCCAGAAGCCTCTGAGCAGGCAGGGAGGGAGGTGTTACTGTGAGCAGGAATTCCTGGAGGGGGTGGGGCATGGTCCCATGTGAGAGGCAGAGCTGCTCTGTGCATTTGGTTGCTTTTGGCAATCTCTGGCAGCCTAGGGAGCCTGAAAATACACACCTTGTTTTGGGAAGGCAGAATTAGAAAAAGCTATTTTTCCAAGCTAGGAACAAACTTTACACATAAACCCATTTAAGTGATCAGAAATTGGTTTAAACCTGTAACAGAACATAAGTTCAGTGCACATACACCAGCTTCAAAATGGCTGAAACTGGTTTAAGATAAACCTGGTTGAATGTAGTATTGGACTTAACTGATTTGGGTCAATCTGGTTTATGTAATGTCTGTCCCAGACCCCTTCCTGGTTTAAGTTAAACCAGAGCCCCCCAGTATCCAAGATGCTTTGTAGTCCTGGGCTGGACTGGGCCAGGCTAGGTTGTGTTCTCTGCTCCAAAGAACAGGCTGGCCCCACCTTTCTCCTCCCTAGCCAGAGCTCTGGGGGAGATTGCAGGCACAGCAGGGTCTGCCTGGCTTCCCTCACTGCTTGCTGCTCAAGCAGGGATTCCCCCCTCCCTCCCATCTCCTGCAACATAAACCCCAGCCCCATAGATCTTGAGGAGGTGGTTTGCCTGCTAATGCTGAGAGGTGTCTGTGCGTGTCTCCAATTTCACTGGGACAGGACAAAGGCAGGCAGAATACTTTCCACTTAGGGCTTTTTGGAGCTAATCAGCAGGTCAGCTGGTAATGTCCTTCTGTGGAAAAAGCTGTTTAAGAAGAGCTTCAACTAATGAGAGAGGCTTTTGTTTTGCTGGTGGGCTGATCAATACTGTGGTTTTATCAGCCCCCCTGCTGGTTTGCAGCCCTGTCAGGTTTGCAGACAGGGAGAGGGAGATTGAAAAGTTTAGTATCATCAACACATGCATGCACTGCACACCCCCCACCTTTGCTTCACAGTGCTAGCCTGGGGCTGAGGTCTGACAACACTCCTGCCCCTTGAGCAGCGAGTAGAGGAAAAGCTTGAGATGGTGCAGTCAGGGTAGAGGTTTACACCTCTCCCTAATCAGAGTGTCCTGCTGGGGTTGGCCACACCCCTGCTCAGCTTAGCATTATGGAACAGAAGGGAGGACTGCATTCCCCCCCCTCCCCCGGCTTCTAGCCTGAGCCATGGAATACATGTGCCTGCATTTCTGAAATGAAAAGGGAATGTCTATCCACCTCCAGATCGGTTCAGGTTTTTCAGGTTAGACTAACGTGAAAAGATTGAATCAATTCAGGCTCAGGCTTTTTGAATGTCTGTCCCTAGCCCCTAGACCATGATCTAGACCCTGGCTTAAATCTGGCTTTTTCATGATGACCCTGTGAAGAGCATCCTAGGATGTGTGCACATGTAGCCCTTAACTGTGGGCCATCACCAGAGAAGACGGTCTGTCTGCACAGCTCCTGTCCCAAATGCTGAATGCTTGTACAGTGCTCTACTAGTAGGGTTCCAACCATGGAAACAAAAATGCTGTTCCCACTGGTTAATTTGAATGTACTCTCTATTTCCTTTTTGACATTTGTACAGTATTGTATTGTCTTGCATTTACACATGCCTTTACATTTAAATGATTTAAGGCAAGGTCTTTTGTTTTTACTTAGGATTCTATCTACTTTAAAATATTTTGGTGTGATGCCAGTAAATATTAAATAGCTACCTACATTTTTTGAATAATCCCTCTGGATTTTTTTTGGTTACTGTTGTCTGAGTTTCATCTAATTCCTTTGGCACTGAGACATCCAGACAGTGTTCTAAGAATAGTGCAGACCCAGCTATATTGAGAAAACAATTAGTTTGCTGCTCCCTGTCATGTTTTTACAAAGGCAGCCCAAAATTCATTAGAAGTTTACTTTTATAATCCTGAAATGATATGTCAAACTTATTGTCCTGTTAATTGTGTCTGTTATAACCTTCTAAGCATTCTGTTCTTAATTTATTCTATAAGATATATTTGCTGTCAGGTAAGGTATTTGATAGTTCTGGTCATCTTCCAGTTCTCCCCAATTCTGTTATTTGATTAAAGCTTATTGAAGTTTGCCTTTCTGGACAAATCAATGAAACATTCTTCCTACTTCCTAAACTATTGCAGGAAGGGGACATTGACACATACATAGCCCCCTCCCTAAAATATGGGCAGTACAGATCCTATTAAAGTAATTTTTTTATCCTTAGGGTTTCATTCTAAATGTTAATTTTAATAATCATCTTATAATTATGAACAGAAATTGTAACACTATTTTAATAGCTAGTTGTAATGATTGATATCATTGTTATCTTTCAGGAAGGAGCTAGGATTGCTTCAGAAGCTTTATGGCTTATATGATACCGTAATGAACAATATTAGTGGATATTATGAGATACTTTGGACAGATGTAGACATTGAAAAAATTAATGCTGAACTTCTGGATTTTCAAAACAGGTGCTTTGTAATGTGGGCCTTTTAGCAGGATATAATTAAGTATAATGTTAATGTTATTAAGAATAATTCATTATAAAACAACTTAATATATTGGAATAAGTAAATGTTGTTAATAATATTAGTAGTGTGTAATTTATTAAAATAAGATCATTGGCCTCTTTAAGAAGAGATGGATTCTATCTCCATCTGTGGTAATCAGCTGCTTCCAGCTGAGGCTGTGAAGGTAGGGATCTACTGAAGGACTGGGCACAACTACATGTACAATTAATGCAATTGAATATTCTGCAGCTCAGTTTGAGCTGCAGTAAACTAATCCTGAGATGTCACCATCTACACATGTATTTAATCAAAATAATTTACTGAGGTGTATGATAGTACCTGTGTCTGACACGACTATCCTACTCTCAAGTAAATTAATCTACTGTGCACTAATTGCAGCACATGTGTAGATGGTAACACTTTACTGCTGATTAAATTAATTTAATACTAGACCAATAGTCTACTCTTAGTAGTGTGCTATTAGTTTAGATGTGCCCACTGAAGAGTATCTAGTCCTTATATAGACTAATACTACATGTTACAAGCGTTGTGCAAGGCACTCCAGACTATATGTGTATTCAATACCTTGGCACAGAAGGCAGTTTTGGTCACATTAGTTTGCCACTTCCCAAATGATAATAATTTAGGTATGTTGTTTCGAATTCCAGGGTTAATGCAGCTCATGATATCAGTTCAGCTAAAGGTCTACAGCAGACTGATATCTGTAGTAAGGGAACCTGCACATTGGTTTAACAATGTTGTATATAAAAGATCTCTGAATCTCTTAAAATTTTTATACACTATTCTTAAAATATATAGGTCATCTAAAGCAAATAAATAAACACTGGACATCTTTTACAGCATGTGATCCTGGTAAAGAATTATTTGGTTCTATTATAAAGTAGAAAGATTAAAATATATTTCTGACACTTAAGTTATAATTTGGTCACAAGAGGGCCTTTTAATCTTTTTAGTTAAACTTTACTTTGAGTATTTTAGTAATTAGTATTAGGACAGGAAGTATAGTTTGGAGGATAAAACCAAGGTGTTTTGTAGGATAGGGTAGTTTTTTTCTGCTGCACAACTACTTTCCTTATCCAACAGTCCTGGGTTAATGTCTTCTACCTGTGGAATTTGAACTAAGCCTCATCCTTCAGTTCCATATACTTCCCTGGTTGTTGATCATGTTTGTAGTTAGTTTGTTCTGATGATTGTATTTATATTGATTATTGTATTGTATTGTATTGATTATAACTTTATTTTATTTTTCAAATTGGCTCCTGGGTATTTTTTTTCTCAGATGAGTGGTTTCAGTCGCTTCCTTCTGAGATTCCTTTCCCCTAGTCTACATCTGAGAAAATGGCAGAACAGTCCTGCAAACACCAGACTAAATCTAAACCTTGTCTCTATAAGGGGCAGCTTCTAAGATGAATCGTTTCATGCCTCTTCATAGCCAACTCTCTTCATTACTTTCAGGACACAGGATTCAGATATGTCAGGATACCTGTTCTCCCAGGAACTGTGGCTACAATACAGAAAAACCTGAAGAGAAGCTTATAAGCAGTTCTGGGGAAGTTGACTAAGGTCAAGGGTAAAAATCACCCAGTGCCAGGACTAAGTCCAGCTGTGGAACTGGATTGGAGGGGTTATCCACCTGAAAGGGGAAAAAAATTCTCAGAAACTGCAAGAGGTCTCCAGTTCTCTGAGGAAAGGAACAGAGTTAATATATAGCTCTCTTTTGTCCTACTGTGAGGTATGGAGGTCTCAGGATGTTCAGAGATGCCTTCAGGCAGTGCCATGAACTCCAAAAATGAAGGACCATCAGTGGATTTTTCCTTTTCTTTGTTCCTGTCATGATCTTTTTTAGTCTCAGGTCCATATCTTGTATGCTCCTAGGAGATAGCATGCCCTTTTTTCTTTGGATCTACTCTGTGGACACATTTGCTACTCTCATTCTTGTTTACATAGACCTGTTTCTAGTGATGGAAGAAAACTTGGGATTCATACCAGTTCTTTCTTTTTTGTCTTTCATCCTATCTCTCTTGGGCTCCCTGTACACATAACAGGTGCAGTGAACCTGTTAATTGCACTGTTACCTTAAGACCAACTACATGTGTAAAGTACTTTTCACACGATAAAAGGCTTCAACCAGCTATAAAGTTAGACCTCAAATATATGTACTAACTTTATAGCTGGTTGCTATTGAGCGTTAATCTGCATGGGTAGCAGGGTCTCTTCTGCAGCTGGGAGCTTGTCAGCTGACAGGGCTCCCAGCCATAGGGGTGCACCATACTCAGCATGAAACCCCCAGATTCTGTGGATCCTGGCTGCCTCAATCACCAGGGCCAAGAGATTTCACAACGGGGGTTACAGCTACCATGATCCCTCAGGCCCAGGGATGCATGGGGCACCCCTGCAGCTGGGAGCCCTACAAATGAGGAGGCTCCCAACCATGGGAGCTTACTTCTTGCTGGTGCAGTGGGAGTCCAGGATCAGGCTCCTTCTGCACTGGCATTAAGGCATGATGGGATCTGATGCACAATCCCACAATTAAGCCTCCTGTTATGCATGTGTGGCATGGCAGGAGGCACAATTGTATGGATTGTGCCTTAGGATTCCATCATACTTTTACCTCCACATATAGAGGGGGCCTTGTTTTCTTTCATAATCTGTTACATGTAATTTCATTCCTTGGAAATGATGAATAGACATTAAGAAACCACTGTAGTGGCAGAAAAGTTTAATGGTAGTAGCTTTAAATCCCTCTTGAAACAGAGATTCCTTCTTTCAAATATGAATCGGTTATAGGTAGCAGCCCGGGTATCAGAGAAAAAAATAGTTCAGTATGGAATGTTCCATTACATTTACTTGTACATTTTAGTATCAAAACTGAACATAGGAAGTTTAAGTTATGGATCAGGACACATTCCTGTGCAAGCAGGACATGAGGATCCTCTGGGGAAAGGCTGGTGTGTGTCTGAACTGTGTCCAGCACAACGGGAGTGCTGTGATATAAATAATTATCACAAAGTTCTAGTGATCTCTGGTAGATTAGGGTTTATCTGTGATGGCTGATAGGAGTTCTTCAGCCAATATAGAAATGGAGGTACCCGCTGTAGTGGTGTTATTTATAAAGGCACATTGGCATCTCTGTCATTAGGTGACCATATTAATCAGAATAACAGGTTAGAGAGATAAGCCTATTGTTAACCTTTCTAGTTGTCATTCATCTCCAAAAACAGGTTATGGAGTTTGTTTATATATAAAACAATGACATAAACTGTTTGCTGAAGGTTATTCTTAAAACTTCAGAAGCACTGATTTTCAATGTGACTTCCTCTTTCTATAAGTCCTGGGAGATAGTTCTCCCATCATTTGTTTTAATTTTTAGCACACATTTTAAAAGAGTTTTAAAGGATTATGAAGCATATGGAGTACAGTTATCAATAGGGTCCTACTTAATTTGCAGCCAGACAAAAATTTTTTGCAGCTTAGTTGTGGCACAAAGAGCCAATTTTGCAGGCATTTCCCAGTGGCCCCACCCCTTGCCACTGATTGGTGGGAGGAAGGATGAGGTAGCAGCTGCCGTCTTGGCTGATGGTTTCCTTTGTGTTGCTTTACCAGCTGGCAAGTTCCCCTCCCAGGTGGACTGCAAGGCAGCAAGGACTGCTGGCTTTCACTGGCGAATAAGCATTTTATTTTTAAGGTGTTTTTTTTCTAAGTTGATTTTAGGGACAGTTGTGGATTTCACAAAATCTGTGAAATTGCGAGTTGAGTAGGTCCCTAGTTCAATTGTTCACTCTTTGTATTATTCCATCCCAAACACCAGGAAAGAACAGCCCCACATTTCTACAGTCTAGATGTTAAAATTTTGAATAAGAGAAAGAAGCAAGGCTCCATCTAAAAGCCCTAGTGGTGTTTAGAGGGAGAGGTATGAGGAAGACATACAAAGTAGATTTCCATTCCTCTGAAGAGGATCAGTGGTATTCTTTTGTAGGATTGTGTTAATGAGTTGTGTACTAAATAATTTTTTAGATCACAAAACTCTGTTATATAGGGTGTATGGGCTGATGCTTCAATTTCTATTATTCTGTTCCATATCTTAGAATCATAGCATCATAGATAATTAGGGTTGGAAGGAACTTCAGGAGGTCATCTAGTCCAACTTTCTGTTCAAAGCAGGACCATCCTTAACTAGATCATCCCAGCCAAGGCTTTGTCTAGCTGGATCTTACAAACCTCCAAGGATGGAGATTCCACCACCTCTCTGGGTTTTCATAGATTTCATAGACATTAGGTCTGGAAGGGACCTTGGAAGATCATTGAGTCCAGCCCCCTGCCCCAGAGGCAGGAAGTCATCTGGGGTCAAAGGTTCCCAGCAAGATAAACATCCACATGTCTCTTAAAGAAGTCCAGAGTAGGTGCTTGCACCACCTCTGGCAGCAGTCTGTTTCAGGCCTTGGGGGCTCGGACTGTAAAGTTCTTCCATATGTCTAGTGTGGCAGGCACTGTTTGTGCCTGCCAATTTAAGGGCCTGAAGCCGGCAGGTGCCTGATTAGGGCAACCATTTTGGATTCAGGGCTGCCCATATAAACAGGGCATTTTGCTGCTGGAAGGCCAGGCAACAACATCACCTGGCTGCAAGGCTGCTGGTAGCATCTGGAGATATGGGAGGAGCTGTAGGGGATGGTTTACGAAGCTCCTGGGCATGACCTAAAACTGCACGATGCCAGGAGTGGGTGGCCTGGTGGAGCTCTCAGTGGCGTGGGAGCCCCCAGGAAATGCCAGGCCAGTTACCATCCTGGTGAAAGGTGGGTTGGGGCACCTTAACTCCAGCTCCCACTTTTGGGTGGGTCAGGTGACAACGGAAGTAGAGGGGGCCAGGCATGGCTACAGCCACCTGTTCCCACCCGTGGAGGGAAGCCCCGAGACCCTGAGTGAGGGTGCATCGTGGAGCCCCAAGAAAAGGGAGAGAAGAACCAGAGAGCTGAGGGTCCAGTAGACATACAGACACTGAGTGTTACCCCGAAAGGAGCCTGAGTGTGCTTAGACCTGCTTGGGTAATTGGCTGGCCACTACCCTGGTGAGGGTCACAGGAGAGGCCCAACAGACGGTACATCTGCCACCCAGGGAGCAGACTAGCTAAGCCTACGGCCAAAGGGTGCCCGCTCCAAGGGGGAGCAAAGCAGCATATGTTGTCGACATGAGAAAGAGACCCTGTGAGAGAGGGTGGAGTGAGTGAGGCCTGAGTGAGAGGTGGGCAGTATGACTGTGAGTATGACTGAGGCCTGACGGCATAACCTAAGCTTGCTCTGGCTGTAGGCTGGGGGCACTGTAACATCTGGATGCCATCCGCGAGGCTTGGGCCACAGTGTAGGGGAGTTACAGAGCTGCAGACACCCCCAAATATGGGGTGCAATAATGGTCAGCCTTGCACCTTATTTAACAGCATATTTAATAATATGGCGTGGCGGGAGAGACAGGCGGGTGGCATGCCCAGAGGCAGGTGAGGGGCTAGCTGCGGCTAGTGGGGTTACCCACTTTGCCATATCCACCCTGAAACGGTCTTGGAGGCATCTGTAACCATTTGATCTTGTCATCCCTTGGGGCGCTCTGGTGAACAGGCATTCCTCCAGATCTTGATGTACATCCCTTACATACTTAGAAGGAGCCACCAGGTCCCCCCTGAACCTGTGCTTCTTCAAGCTGAAGAGTCCCATGGCTCTCAGCCTCTCATTATAAGGCCTGTTCTCCTGCCCTCTGATCATGCATGTGGCTCTCCTCTGGACTGTCTCAAATTTCACCACATCCTTTTTGAATTGTGGAGCCCAGAGTTGGATGCAGTACTCCAGCTGCAGCCTCACCAAGGCCGACTACGGTGGGAGGATGGCATCCTGGGATTTGCTAGAGAAGCATCTGTGGATGCAAGGCAGAGTTTTGCTTGCTTTACCAGCTGCAACATTACATTGGTGGCTCATGTTCATCTTGTGGTCACTCATGACCCCCATGTCCCTTTCGGCCATGGTGCTAGCACTGCTGAGCCTATAAGCATGCTGTAGGTTTTTCTTCCCAAGGTACCTTCCATTTTTCAGAGTTGAACACTATCAGGTGCTGTTTCTCATTCTGAGATTGTAGACAGAATCTTTGCTACAAGAATGTGAAAATTCTTAACTGAGTTTCTTTCTGTTAACAGCCTCTCTCTTTATTCACATCGCCCTAGTATTCTAATAAAGAATTGGAATACAACTTGTTTTCTTTATGAGGAAAATTAGACATATCTTTACCTGAAGTTTAACTCATATATATTATATAGAAGCCAGGGCAGGATAGCATCTTGTAGACTAAATAGTTCTGAGCTTTTGTAGGCTACAGCCTACTTCATTTGGGGTAGCATCTACCAAAGTAGGATGCAGCTTACGAAAGCTCATGCATCTCTGAAATAGTTAGTCTTTAACAGGGCTGTCCAACATCTAAGGGCAGTTTTACACATGCTGTGGGGTGGATGGTGCTTTAATTAGAGCAGTTCTAATTTAAACACTGCAGCATCTTGTGTATCAGTGTTCCTGCACTTAAAAATGGTGGTGGTGGTTGTGGGGGTCATCCTTGAACTAAAATTAATTCGTTGAGCTTTAGTTCAAGTGTCTCAACTGCCATTTTTGAGCATGGAGACACTGATACATGAGACACAGGAGTCTGCTTGAGTATGGTAATTTCCATGCTCCAGCAGACTCAATTAATAAAATCTGCTCCAACACACTGTGGGATCTACATGCTGTGTGGGCTGCATGAGTACAAGCCATAGCCCCTGGGCGTCATGCTGTGTGGGTATCCCTTTCATGTACTGTACTGCCTGCATATCCCTCACTGCACTGCACCATTTGGGTGCTCTCTGTCACTGCTCTGCTGCTTGGGTACTCCAGCCCCAACCTCAGCTACAGGCTACCTCATTGTACTGCATTGCATGCTCCACTGCACTGTCTGCTGAGGGTGAGCCCAGGAAGTGTAAGCTGGAGGAAGGAGGAGAAACCCAGAGATCTTCCTGTTGCTGCAGCTGGAATGATGGTAGGGAGCAGTACAGGTGCCCAGAAGCCACAAATGAGTCTCTCATAGGCTGAATGTGGCCTGTGGGCCATCAGTTAGACATCCCTGGTTTATAAGATGCTATCCTGCTCTGCCTTCTACATAACTTCAGACTACCATGGCTAACTACCACTTTCTAATATGTATTGTATTAAGCATGTTGTCTTCATTGTACTAATTAGTTGGTGTTATATTTCTGCACTTTGGAATTACTTTATTGGTGGCATGAGATAAAAGGCAGGGCTCAGTCCTAGAGTCTTCTTCAAGGCTACTAGATCATGTCTGAATTTCAGAAGTGGAGGACATTAACCCATTAGTAATGAATAAGGAGATAAGCTGTCAATAGAAAATAATTATTTTTTGAAACAAGTCTTATAATTCTTTGTCATTATGCTTTCAGAGAACACTTGCACTGCCTTTTGGAAAAGATAGATAACCATATTAGTTATATGCCCTATAAATTAAACTGGAAAGAAAATCAGCAAGTTAATTTTTTTTGCAATTGTTTCTGAAAAGAAAATTAACTTTTAATGAAATTCTTTCTGTTTGCATCCTAATTTATTCTGAAATTACCTGAAGTTTTTCGGTAATTTTTAGTAATTACCCGAAATTACCTGGACAGGTTACAAGGGTGGGTGGATAAGAATAGGATGGGTTTCAACACAGACAAGTGCAAGGAGATGCACCTGGGGAGGAACAACCGGCACCATACCTACAGGTTAGGGAACTCCCCTCTTGTCAGCACGGAGG